CATCCTGCCCCCAGCCGTGGGGCTGAGCTTGGCACACAGTGCTGGAGGGACCTGGCACGCCGGGGGGGTGGGAGCAGAAGCCCCCAGGTGGGGCTCCTGCCATTGCTGGGGGCTGTAGCTCTTTTGGGCCCCGGGAGCTTCACCTCTGCTGCTGCCTGCACCGTGACCCAGGAGGAGGAGGGGATGGAGGGGATGCTTCCAGCAGAGCAGAGCCCGCAACTCGGGGATGCACCTGCCGGCAGTGTGTGTCCCCCACTTCATGGGCACATCCAGCGGGTGGCCAGACCCTGGAGATGTCCCCATGGGGTCCCTCATGCAGCGACCACTGAGCTCTGCAGTGCCCAGACAGGACAATCCCGCCTCAGATGCCCACCCTGCCTTCTCCTGCCCCTCGGGCAGCTCCTCTCCCCCCCACCCACAGCACATGGGATCTCAGGGATGCCCTGAAATGATGAGCTGGGGGAGCAGAGATGGGAGGAGGACAGGAGGAGTAGCTGCAAACATTTATTAGATCGGGAGCATCCACTGAGCAGACAACACGAGAGAGGGGAAAACATTTCAGGCTTGAAGACACGGGACCTGCACAGACACCAGGTCACCCCGAGCCCCCAGTGTGGCCACGCTGGAGGGCTGTGGGCTGCCAGCAAGTGGGAGAGCCCGGTGATGGCAAACACCCCCTCTGCCCCTCAGCAACAAGAATGGGCTTTGGGCTTCAGCTGCTCACAGTGAGGAAATCTGGACACCCAGAGCTGGGCAGAACCCGGGGGGACAGGGACCCCCATCCTTCGGGCCCCATCACCACTGCCAGCCCCTGCCTGTGGCACCACCATCCCCACGGGGCTGGGGGCAGTCTCGGGGGGGTCGCCAGGGGCTGCACAGGGCAGAGCTGAGGAAGATTAAGGCCAAGCGAGGCTGAACCCAACGGGCAGCGTTACACCACGAAGCGCGTCCTTCCCCAGCCGTCCTTGTCACCCTGGGCTGGGCAGAGCCCCAGGACACTGGGGATGGGGTACGCAGGAGCATCCCAGACACCACGAGGGGCCGGTGCTGGGGACTGGGAGCTGGGGAGGTCACTGGCTTTCACAGCCGCGGCGCCCACCCCCACTCACGGGCC